GGGGGTTGCTTTCCTATGTAGCAGATGGTGTGACCCTCTTCCTTGGATCTCTCAAGCATTTTTGAACAACCTTTGCAGCAGCAGGACATTGGCTACTATGGTCGCCCAGCTTTACCTATGGCAGTTTAGGGTGTCATGTTTTGTGGCTTTGTCAGGGTTGACTGGGTAATTTTGCTAATAGCTTAGACAACAGGTTTGTATAAGATGGTTTGGATAGGGATGATCCTGCCTCAGGTGAGGGGTTGGACTAGATGACCTCTGGAGGTCCATCTCAGCCCTACTTCTCTATGAATCCTTGGTGATGTAACAGTGCAAGGTCACTTGACTTTTTTGTGCATCTTTTCCTCTGTTTCTAAGGCACATGCATCATCTGTAGCCCAGTCTGTGTTCTTGTGGGAGACTGTCAGAAAAGAAGGGATCTATTTCTGCTCCCTTTGGAATGGGCTTACAATGTCAATGCCTTGCCTGTATCTTTATTTACTAGAGCCGAACTATTCAAGCCTTTGTACCTAAACTAGGAATAATTTATTCTTGGGAATGATGCTGACTCGCTCAGGAACAAGATCTAGTGCTGACCCTCAAGGGCAGACCTTGTTTGAAGCAGGGTTAATGCCAATGAGCTCTGTAGATGCTGTGATATGCTGAAGGCTCACATTCATCAGGAAAAGCGGTCATATTTTGAAATGTCCTCCGCCTCCAGTTACCTGACAGGTCAGTGCAAGTCGCATTCAACATCCCATTGTGGGTAAATGCTATCTGCTACCTGTGATGCACAGTACTGCATACGACTTGCCCTTATCTGCGGTGAGCAGTAGGTCAAAGCAAGCCTCTTGCTAGTTCACTCAATTATTAAGGCATGTTTAAACATAAATGTCCTAGCAAAGATGATTCTTTAGGATGAGCGTTGGAAGAGCTAGACTAACTGCTTGGATCTGGATTAGCTAGGCCTGAATGTTGGTAAGGTCTGAAGGTTACAAAGCCAAATTTAGTCACCTGAATAAGTTCAAGACTGAGATTTTTAAAGCGGTGTGAGGAAGACTCCCAAATCCACTAAATGTACTTTAGTGCATTAGCAAAAGGTCTGAATCATTCCAACCATTCCTTCGAGATGGTGCTGACATTTTCATGATGGAAAACGCCGACTGAATTCTGCATACTGTAATAAATAGGATCTGACATGCCGCAGTAAATAGAAACTAGCTTCTGAGATGTGGAAATGGTTCTTTAGTGTTCCATAAAGGAAAAGGAGATGGAGCTGCATGTTTGAGAGACAGATGGAGACTAATGACTTGGGATAGTAGTTCTCTGATATGCTGCAACCTAAGCAATGGAGAACAGACCACACACAAACTATTCTGAGCAGTGTGTTCTTCTATCAAATACTTAATGTGGGGACCTCAGCTGCCTTATTGCTAAAGCTAAGAGTTGACAGGAGAGATGGATCCCCTGGCATATTGGGAAAGAGCATCCCAGGTAGGTAGTGTGGCATGTAGATGATATGGAAACCTAATGAAGGGTTAAGAATTAATTCCTGCTTTCTCCATGACTGTGCTGGTCTTTGGTTGTTAGAAGAGTACTCTTGCCTCAGGCAGGGGGTTGGACTAGATGACCTCTGGAGGTCCCTTCCAGCCCTACTTCTCTATGACTCCATGACTCCAATTAATGGATGGATGAAGTCAAGATGACATGGAAATATATACCTGTGGTTTCTACCACAGCAGCCGAGAGAATAGCTTTCACTGAGACCTTAAAAATTCCTTTACATCAGGGGTGTCAAAGATACAGCTTACAGGCCGGTTCTAGCCCATGGACACCTATCATCTGGCCCCTAGTGCTGCCCCTGGGTCTCAGAGGTGACTGACAGGCAGCATGTGGGGTGTGCTACATGGCCCCACGTGCCACCCATGGTGTCCACTGCAGCTCACACCCCAAAGAAGCAGAGTGGCTCCCGCATGTAGCTGAGCCCCAGAGTGGTCGGAGTAGGATGTACCACACATGGCACGTACTTTGGCCACTCCAGGACATGCGCTGGATCCAGAAGGCAGGACCGGTCTGTGAGCCTAATCCGGCCTACAGACCAGCTATGTGCCACTCATCCAACCTGTAGGGCCAGGTGAGTTCTACATCCCTGCTTTATGAAATAAACCCCACCACACATCTGCAAATTTCTGCTAAGCTAGGGGCCATAGTCTTGTGGGGCAGGGGGAGTTCCAGTCTTTACAATGATGTAGTATCAGGCACAGGATAATTGAGAGACTGAAATAATGGTGTTTGTAGATTGTACTGAGGGGTTGTCATGGAATATCAATGTACTGAGCTGAACAGGAGATCAGTTCTTCAGCTGATGTAAATCTGACTTCACAAGACTCATGCTTCTTACTCAAGCTTAGGATCTGGCCCTAAATGCCAATATGAATGCATGTGAGATTATAGGCATATCAAGCAAGGAAGGATTCTTCTTGCCCTGCCCTTGTAATCCCCCCAATGGCTTTGGTGCCACAGTCTCAGATGTTTCCTGGTGCTTGACCAGAGAATCCAAAACATGGCGGCTGCTAAAGAACCTTTATTAAACCCTAGCAACATGCAGGCAGAGAATAAAGTACAATAGAAGCTACTTACATAATTTACATTCCAGCTAGTGTTCCCCCACCCCCAATTTCACACACAGACATTGCTCTTGATTATATGAGTTGCTTTACCATGACTTTAGCTGCTTCTATGGTTTCACCCCCTTATACTTTTATCCTGGAAGGAGATTCAATAGCTTCCTTATTTATTTCTAGGCCAGGTATAAATGGGGTTCACCCCACCACACTGCAGGTTCAGTCACTGGTGCCTAGTCAAAATCGGATTCTTCATCATTCTTCGTTGCAGTCTGCTGCTTGGAGGCAGGGCAAATGTATTGGCTAGTTACTTGAGCTGCTTCCCTTGCATTGCTGTCTGAGCCACTGTAGTAGAGAAAAGAACCAAAGGGTACATCAGTACACTATGCAGAAATTAGACTAGGTTGGTGGTGAAGCTGACTTAGAAATCAGAAGGAAGGGCCAATGAAAGGGCCAGAGAATTGTGGTGCTCAAATTGTGGTAGCCAACTACTACCAAGATAAGGTGCCCACTGTGTTGGGCATTGCACAAGCACAGAAATGAGAAACAGCTCCTGCCCCAAAGAGCTAGCATTCTACCTGGACAAAAAATGGGAGGAGAGAAGAAGCATTGCCCCCATTTTATAGGTAGGGAATTGAAAACTATGGAAAGCTTAAGTAACATGTCCAAAGCAACACTGGAAATCAGTGGCAGATTCAGGAGCTACACTCCGATTTCTTGAGTCCCAGTCTAGTGCCTTAGCAATGGCCAAGTCACCTCTGCTGCAGCATCAACTTTAGAAATTAAATCAGCATGACACAACTTTCAGAACAAACCAAATCAGTATGCTATAGAAAGCTTATTCTAACTTAATTACATTAGACCAGTTTCTCATCAGTAGGCAGAAAACGGCTTAGTCCAAAATCAGCAATCTCTCCATTATCAGAGGAATACTTTATTGAATTTTCCCAATTTATTATTTTTATTAACTATCTGTTATACAGCACTTTGTGCCCACAGATCTCAAAGGAAGGTGTCCTCTTCACTTTAAAAGAGGTGAAATTGAGTGTTAGGGTGCTCTATTGACATACCTAACTATAAAATTACTCTGCAGAATTGCACAGAATTTGGCAGCGCTTGTATGAAGACAGCGACATTCTAACGCCTTGAGAATACAGAATTGTCTCCGAGTAGTGTGCGAACAACAGCTCTGATGTATGTGTCTTGTTAACATAACACTGAATGTGAAACAGTTTGATACAGGCTCAACAATAAGCATAAGAAGACAATCCACCAGGAGGTGAGGAATGATGCCAGCTTGGTTTTAACTTAAAAAAAAAAAATGTATGGATCAGATCCACAGCTCATACAAATCAGTCTAGCTCCAGGTCTGTTGTCATAGCCCAAGCACTTCGGATTCACACGCAGAAAATCCAACTTGTAGGCTTGGTGTTAATCAGTATGAACTAATAAATAGTGAGTTACACACAGCTTTTTGAAAAGTTAAGGGACCAATCCTGAGAGTGCTTGCCAAGGCAAGTAGCCCCATTGATACCAGTGGTTCTACTCATGTGACCCAAGTTTTTGCAAGATCAGGCCCTATCCTTCCACTTAAAATGAAGGATTGCTAGTATATATTCCTACAGCACAGGTTTACCACAAACACAGTTCAGTTCACTCTCCTCTTCTACACTCTGTTTTGAGGCTATCTTTATTGCTCTTATAGTGATTTAATAGAAACTACCAGAATGTTACATTCGTAACACTGGATTTAATGCAAACCACCCTCATTCCTTATAATTAACCACCATTACTTTAAAACATTTGCAAACCCATAATAACTACCACTTGAGACTACTGGCATAGAAACCGTAGAAGTGTAGCTAAGCAGAAGGCCCCCAAAGCCTGTTCCTCAGTGACCATAAAGTGAACCTTTGTAAATATGACAACTAGCTTGGTCAGCAAGGTAAAGGAAGCCATCAACATATGTAACTAAACCAGTAATCAAATACAATTAAATAAAGCACAAGGCCTGAAAAGAGACATTACCATTCTGGACTATATAATCCAGAAATACTATACCATAGCTTTAGTTTATGGTAATTGATGTAACCAAATGTATTAGATGCTGTTTTGCTACAGTGGCTGTATTTTTGTTAAGCTTCTAAGTAAGTTGGAAAGAAACAAAGCAGCCTTGTTTACAGAACACCATACATTTTGGGGAAGAGAAAAACAGGATAAAGGCAAGCACTTGCATAACAGTGAAGGAAGAAGATAAGAATCCTTCCCTCCAGGAGTGTAATTTTTATAGAAGCATAAATTCCAACTAAGTCCAGTTCCAAAAGTTTCAGTAAGAAATTTAAGTAAAACCAATCAGAGGTCATTTATTAGAACCAGCCCTCTATAAATATGGGGTATAAGCTGGAGGGAAATTTTTAAAAGTCAGCAAATTCAAAAGAACGTGCTGCTGATCTGTGCGCCACCATCCTCACACCTCTCAAGTCTCAGCTGGTATAGGTGAGAATCAATGCTGTGCTGTTACAGGTAGCCACTATTACACTTTGGGATACATGTCTGGTTTTTGTGTTTTGAAGTGCAAGTAAATAAAAGATCAGACTACAAACCTATTTCTGCCTCTTTTATCAGTAGCCAGCCTTCAAGGTTACCTGTCATCTGGGTAACAGTATTCAGTTCTACAACATGGTTAAGAATGGGACTTTCAGAAGCACTTAACAGATGCAGGTCCCAATATTCAAAGATACTTAGCTACCTTAAGATTCAGGCAGGTGTCTAACCTACTTAGGTGCTTTTGAAAATCCCATTGGATATTGCAGTCCCACTAGTTTCTGCTGGGAGTTAGGCACCTAAACAGCTCAGTGAGAGCTCTAGAAATGCATCCACATGGATCTATATCTGTAAAGGACCAAATTTACAAAAGGGTTTGTGACCTGTGCTTCTTCATCTTGAGAATCCCACTCTAAGCACATGCCCAGCTTTGTTTTTGTGACTAGCCCCAGAGAAGACACTGACAAAAGAGAAGCATAATACAAATAGGGATATGAGCCTGAGTAGCTCAGGTGATAGAAGATAAAGCTGTTCATCAACAAGTGCTTTGCTAAACTGCTTCAGTCCTTTGAGGGGAGAAGAGACTGAGCAGCTAAATTTGGCCTGTCTTCAAAAAAGCAATCTAAAACTTCCCTTAGCTCCCAGTCTTAACCCTTGAGGCCCTTAAACTCCATAGATGCTTTTATTTTACATTTTTAATCTTAAAGTACCCTTTGAGCCTTTAAAATATCTAGGGTTTTTTTTCTGCACATGTGTAGAAATTCCTCAATCTGAACAGCTCAGCCCTCAGCCCACACTTAAACCCAATCTGGACCAAGACATTTTAGGCATATTTTGAGCATACTTTACACAACCACATTGAAAAGATCATCCCCCACCCTGTTCAGACTAGTTGGAAAGGTAGAGGTGCAGAAGATACCCATCTTTTATGTAATGGTTTACTGGTTCCAGGACTTATGTAAGAAGTGGGATTATTTCCTTCCTCTACATTAGAAGATTGGATCCCACACTTCCCTCCTGCTCCGAGAAAACCCTTAACTACATGGTAATGCGTGCTTTCAGGTGGGGAGATGCTTTCATTCTCTCCTTGTCAGAGCTGAGCTGTTTTAGAGCCAGGAATTCACAATTTATTGGTTCAGAGAGAGGAAGCCTGACTCTAGCACAGCACTGAAGGTGCTGCTTTGGGAAGGGGAAATTTGAACTCCAGTGTGTTCGTATTTCACATGAAACACTGACTGAATGGGATGCATCAACCAGCCCAGGAGCAGGAACCAAGTGAGAGTCTGAATTTCTAGGCTACAGAGCCAGGTTCTTGTTCGTGCTCCGTGGCTCAGTGAATCTTGGGCAGTGCAGAGTCAGCAGGGAGTAATGGGGTGAAGAGTGCCTCTGGCCCCCAGGCTCTTTACAAGAAAGGGGAGACCACCACTGCCTCTTGCAGGGACCCTCATCCCGTCAGTGGTTATTAGGTGTGCTCTAAGGCTGTGTAACGTTTCAAGCCCCACAGGGGACTTAGAAGGCCAATGAGACTTTGGTGCAAGTCCAATGCTAAGCTCTTTAGCTCTGTCATGACTGAGGCACTTCTGTACATATGGACTAAGCAACACTGACATAACAAATTGCATCATCTCTGGAGTTTAGACCCTTTAAGGATTAAGAGGCAGTTGATTTGGGTGTTATCAGGAGTGTATTGTAGGATTTAGGCACATAAATTCCATCTATACCCTTTTCTTGGGGTTTTTATTTAATTTGACCCTCAGGTACTATGGTGATGTGGTCCACAGAAGGACTTAGATCAGAAATTCACTGTACATACCTATCATTCAAAAAGCTCTGGTATAACCACATGAAGCAAAAGTCATTGTAGTGGCTGTCACTCTCAGATTTCCCTGGTATGGCTTGGCTGATGAATCCCTGAGAGCCATCTTCTTTATCACTGATTAAGGAAAAAAGGAAGGGAGAATTCAGTTAATGAAGGTGATGAGGCAAAGTTTTGGAGCTAAAGCTGGACATTATAAGGTCAATGTTGCAATGGGACAATGTTTTTTGTACAAAGGCCAAGCTGGAAGGAAAAAGATACTGCCATTGGAGCATAGCAGCTACTGCAAGAGAAGCTACACTAATTCCTTTTGTTTTTCCAGGGGATATCATGTTTTGAGGAACCGCCATGCTTCCTAAATTTGATACATTTATCCTTCCTTCCTTTTTGCACCCTTGTGCAACAAGGTATTAAGCAGAATTCACAGATTTGGCCACGAGCGCTTCGGCTCTGGCCTCAAATTAGCAACCTCTGGGCTATTAACTGCACACCTTAGTGCCTGCACCACCGTAACTCCCTGTGCATTTTTTATAACCAGAAATGCAATCAGAAACAAGTTCCTGTATAGCAGGAATCCTCACTGTTTTGCCTCCTGGTTTTATCATAATTAATGAGCTACCTGGAATTGTGGTAGCACTCAGAGACATCTAGAAGCTGGATAATACATTACAAGAAAGAATTATCTACATAGGTGGTAAGAGGGGGGTACACTATGCGGTACCATATAGAGATACCTGAGCTAATAATGGCAGCAGAGCCTGCTAGCTTGAGTGGAATTAGCTTGGATATCTCTACAAGGCACAGCAGACATCCCTCAGTTGCATCTTTCCCAGAATGGTACAAGTCACCATCTTGTGTCTTCTGCCCTTGCTGCCTATGAAATCAGTGATTGCATGATAATGATAAATTGGCATTTCTTTATTAAAGGTGAATGGGAAGAGCTGCACTTGGGTCTGAAAGCTAATGGCAGGGGTGACATAGGGGGAGGTGCATGTATCACTGAAATCCATTTTCATTTTCAGAGGCAAAATCAGGCCTATATTAACCCACTGCTTCTTCCCCATGAGTTCATTTCTGCCCCTTTAATAGGTATGGCCTGAGCCAGCTGCTAAGCTGTTTAGAGGCTCTGCTTAGGGTAGGCCAGTCAGTGCTCACTCACATTAGCTCTCTGGCCCTTGCTCATCATTGGCTCTACCTACCTAACTCTACCCTCAACAGGGTATAAATGGACTAGGGCAGGCCATGACTGCTTGAACCCTTGCCCCATACAACCAGGGCCCTCACTCAGGATCAACCATAAAAGGGTTAAGAAGACTTCTGCTGAATGTGTCTGCTTCTGATCTTAAGTGTCCTCACTAAGACTCAGCATTATTTCCAGTTCCTGCCCTGGACACCGCCTGCCTGGGTTTCTGTTTGGCTCCAGCCTTATCCATCCGCTTCTTTGAGTTCCCATACTCAGTGTAGATTGTGGTTTCTGACCTTGGCTTGCTCTTCAGACTTTGGTTTAGGACCCAAACCCCTGGTCTTCAGTCCTGCTCTAAGCCTTGCTCTAGACTCCAGTCCCTGATGGAGCCAAGGACTCTGAGAGAGGTCAGTGCCTGAGTGGTAACAATTTAGCATTGTGTAAGATGAACTTTTGCACAACACAGCAACAGGTTTCAACCAGTCTCCTAAAGTTCCCCGTAGTTTTCACTGTTTCAAGGACTCTTTGTTGGGGCAGGCATGTTGATGATGGTGTCAGCTTTACTGTGGTCTGCCTCTACGCTTAGCTGTATTATCTTCTCTCGCAGGTGTGCTTTTTCCCTTACACAAGACTTGCCATTTTCTTTGGCCACACAACACTGTTGGTTCCAGCTGGCTCTTGTGAGAACCACTTAAAGGTGCAATTCCCCACAGAAGAAATGATAATGCAGGGAAACAGTAGTGTTATTTCTTCCACTGCCTCTTATACACTGGACTTATAATGCACAGCAGCCATTAGCTCTGGAGGCAGTTTCTCAGCATCTTGACATGGCTGGAGCTATGTGGTGGGTCAATGGTCACTCAAGGGGATGACAACAGGACAGAAGACGGCAGCGTACCAAAGAATGTTTCTATGTCCCTCTGTAGCAGTGCCATTGGGAGTTTCTTTCCTTTGACTAGATAGATTTATGGGGATAACTTAGTAGAGAAACTGAGGTCAAAGGTTCTTGTGGTACTGAGAAAGCCCAGCAAGTAAGAAAACAGGGTTAATTTCTCTCTTTACCATCCTCTGAGACTTTGTACATGGTGCAGGAAAGCCTTCAGTTTAGTGAGTATCTCTTTTGAGTCCAAGTCATTTTCAGCTTGATTAATAAAGCCAGTCTCCTCCAGCTGTCCTGGTCCAGATGGTTCAGGAACACTAGCAAAGAAGTTTAAGGAGAAACAATGCCAATGCATCATTCTTCAATGTCCTCATTACCTTCCAAATGCTGTCACACCAATTCACAGAGAGGTGAGTGGATCCCCAGCTTATGCCAGCTGATGTAGTGCCACTGAAGTCAGGTTCTCATCAGAGGACCTGAGACTTGTTTGTGAGAGTGGGTCCATGAAGCATCTCTCAGAGCCAAGGTCATTGGATCAGCTGAGTGTTGTCATTGCAACAAGCTAAGGTTCATAGAAGAATCACAGATTCATAGAAGCTAAAGGCTGGAAGGGACCTCACGAGATCATCAGGTCCAGCCCCCCTGCTCTCAGGAGGAAAGACTGCTGGGGTCAGATGATCTCAGCAAGTCGTCTTTTGAAAATCTTTGGGGTAGGTGTCTGCAGCATCTCTGGGGGGAGTCTGTTCCAGACTTTGGACACTCAAACCATAAAGAAGTTTTTCCTT